AAAGTTTTCTCATGCCCCTCTGCAGTCAGTCTCCCCTTGAAGACCCCACATCCCCTTTAATCTTTAATCCTTGAAAACATTTTACCTGACACAAGCATTTTGTAACTTTAAAGTAATGATCATGCACAAAACTTATGTTCTTGTGTAGACCGTGTGAGAATTTGGGAGAGATGTAAGGAAATCAAACCCAGCTTCATTCCAAGACAATTCTGTTGGGTTTGACCCTTTGTGGCTGTAGTGGTCGTTATCCTCTGGCTAATATGCACGGAGAGGGAGAACTGTCATTAACTGAATAATCATTACTTTCCCGTTTGTTCTTTAATGTTTATTTCTGCTGTATTTAACATTTATTACTGGGCTTGGTGGCTCATGCCTGTAATCCCAGCACTTTGGGAGGCTGAGGTGGGCGGATCATGAGGTCAGGAGTTTGAGACCAGCCTGACCAACATGGTGAAACCTTGTCTCTACTAAAAATACAAAAATTAGCCAGGTGTGGTAGCACATGCCTACTACTCAGGAGGCTGAGGCAGGAGAATTGCTTGAACCTGGGAGGCAGATGTTGCAGTGAGCTGAGATTGTGCCACTGCACTCCAGCCTGGGAGACAGAGCAAGACTCCGTCTCCAAAAAAAAAAAAAAATTAGCCGGGCATGATGGCGCACACCTGTAATCCCAGCTACTTGGGAGGCTGAGGCAGGAGAATTGCTTGAACCTGGGAGGCGTAGGTTGCAGTGAGCCGGGATCATGCCATTGTACTCCAGCCTGGGCCACAGAGCGAGACTTCATCTCAAAAAAAAAAAAAAAAATTATCGCACCTACATACTTGTATTATTTAACTTAAGGAATCCTCCCTATAAGGGAAGTGCTATTATTATCCTTACTTACAGACTGAGGAAAATAAGAGGGAAACTGAGGTACTGGCCAGGCGTGGTGGCTCACGCCTGTAGCCTGGCCAACATGGCGAAACCCCGTCTCTACTAAAAATACAAAATTAGCTGGGCATGGTTGTACGTGCCTGTAATCCCAGCTATTCAGGAGGCTGAGGCATGAGCATCACTTGAACCCAGGGAGCGGAGGTTGCAGATTGCGCCACTGCACTCTAGTCTGGGCGACAGAGCGAGGCTCCATCTCAAAACAAAAAAAAAAAAAAAAAAAGAAAGAAAGAAAGAAACTGAGATACAGTCACGTGTGGCTTTTGATTGATTAAAAAGAATGAGTGAGGTTAGTTTCCTGATGAGGATAAGTGAAATTAAAAGTTTCTTAAGAAACTAATTTTCTCATTGATCAAAATAATATGTACCCAGGTTGGGCGAAATGGCTCATGCCTGTAATCCCAGCAATTTGGGAGGTCGAGTTGGGCAGATCACTTGAGCTCAGGAGTTTAAGACCAGTATGGCCAACATGGTGAAACCCTGTCTTAACTAAAAATACAATAATTAGCCGGCATGGTGTCACGTGCCTGTATTCCCAGCTACTGGGGAAGCTGAGGCAGGATTATCCCTTGAATCCAGGAGGCAGAGGTTGCAGTGAGCTGAGATAGCACCATTGCACTACAGCCTGGGTGACAAGAGCAAAACGCTGTCTCAAAAAAAAAAAAGTAATATGTACTCAGATTTAAAAGCCAGGGCTTCTCTTTCCCTGTACATAATGCCCTTGGGCAGTGTCACCCGTGGCTGCAGCTGAATGCCATAACGACTGACCCTGACTGGCAGGCCTCCCTATGTCTGTTTCCTGCCTTCATTGTCTCCTGACAGGTCGCCCTGTCTTTAGCCCTTCTCTGCATTGTGATCCTTCTAACATGCAGTTCTGGTGATGTCACCTTCCTGATTAAAATTCTCCGATGGCTCCCTCGGCAATCAAATGTGGGCTCCTGGTTCCTTGCCTTGGCAGCGGCACATCCTGTTGCTCTCCCCTGCCTACCTTCACCCTGGCTGTGCTCAGCTCATTGTTGATCTCCAGAGATCTGTACACTCTCATGTCCCTGCACCAGGAACTGACTGTTCTGTCTGGAAAATGCCCTCTTGTCTTTCAGACGTGTCTGCCGGGTAAACTGTTATTCATCCTTGAGGACTTGGCTCACATCTTCCCTGATTAGCCCACACAGATGTGGGATCATCTTCTTCCCAGCTTCCAGGGCCCCTTGTGGATTAGAGCTGGTGTCACGTTGTTTTATAATGTCTTGTCCCAACTCTTTGCCCCACTAATCTGTACCCTCCTGGAGGGCAGTGACTTTGTCTTCTCAACTTGACATTCTAACCTAGCTCAGCACCTGGACTCACTATTCAGACTACAATACTGCAAAGGCATAGAACATATTCATATTCACCACTGCTGTTGCCATTGCCTGGCATAGGGCCTGGCCTGTAGGAGGTATTCATTTCATATTTGTTGAAAGCATTAATAGTGGGTGTTTTAAAATATCATACTGTAATGGTTTAGCCCAGGAATTGCAACCTGAAGGGCATCATCAAGCCATGGCCATCTTTTGTATGGCCTCATAGTATTTTAAGTTTTTTGAATTTGATACCTGTGGATAGAGCATGTGCTCTCCTGTTTACCACTGATTAATTGCACAGTTAATCCACTCTGATTATCATGCCCTTGACCTCCTTACTCATCTGTGACTCATCTGGTCCCTGGAGATGAGGTTGGGGGATGTGGGGAGGGGCAGTGTATTTCTTTGTTGAGGCTACCATAACAAAATACCAAGTGGCTTCAACAGCAGACATTTACTTTCTCATGGTTGTGGAGGCTGGAAGTCCAACATCTAGGTGACAGCAGGGTTGGTTTACCTGGAGGCTTTTCTGCCTGGCTTGCAGATGGCTGCCCTCATTGTGCCCTCACATGGTCGTCCCTTGGTCTGTGTTGTCTGTGTCTGAATTTCCTCTTCTTCTTTTTTTTTTTTTTTTTTTTTTGAGACAGAGTCTCACTCTGTTGCCCAGGCTGGAGTGCAGTGGCACAATCTCAGCTCACTGCAACCTCCGCCTCCTGGGTTCAAGCGATTCTCCTGCCTCAACCTCCCTAGCAGCTGGGATTACAGATGTGCACCACCACGCCTGGCTAATTTTTGTATTTTTAGTAGAGACGGGGTTTCACCATGTTGTCCAGATGGTCTCAATCTCTTGACCTTGTGATCCGCCTGCCTCGGCCTCCCAAAGTGCTGGGATTACAAGGGTGAGCCACCGCGCCTGGCCGAATTTCCTCTTCTTATAAGGACACTGGTCATATTGCATTAGGGCCCATCCGCATGACGTCACTTAATCTTAATTACCCGTTTAAAGACCCTGTCTCCAAATGTAGTCACATTGTGAGATACTAGGGGTTAGAACTCGAATTTATGAATTTGGCAGGGCAGGGAGGGGCACTATATATCTTAGAACAGGAAGGGGCATGAACTCTCAGGTACTGTGGTCTGTTCCTTGCATCTGATTCCTGTTTTATAACATGCCACTAAAAGGGAACACAGCAGAGACAGCATTTCGTTCACTGAGGCAGAATCTGGATGGTTATAATGTGCACCTGCTCAAACACCTGATCTCCGCTCTGGTCACTTTGATCTTGGTACCATATTCATGTTTCTTAAGCAGCTAACATTTAGCCGGAATGCCAGGTAGAACTTAGGTGCTTTTCATTTTGGAAATTCATACCCTTTTTCATTCTATCACTCCAAACACTGGTGTGTAGGCTGCAAACTTTCTTTGCCAAGGGTTAGGTGGACAGGAGAGGTAAAAGCTGTATAATGACATGGCACCACCTCCATTTGCTGTAAGCAAACAGCCAGGTCCTTTATTACCCTTGAAACAGGCACTCGTGACACAGGTTGAACTCAGAGAAGCAAGTCAAATGCCAGGTTTCTGTGGGTCAAAGTTCCTTCCAGTACTGTATGTTAATCAGAAGCTCAACCTTAGTTAATTTGGCCATTGCGTTGGGAAGAACTTTGGAACCAATGATTACTGAGCTGGACTGCAGGAGTTAGCAGAGCCCAGTATTTTCTTATCCAAGAGGTATGTTGTAGTCTTTCTTGGAGGGGATCACAGGAATGAGACATTTGTCGCAGCTTTATTTATTCTTGGTGGAACAGTAGTATAATAAAATCTTCTACACTGAACGTAGCTAATCAAAAGTATTTACTTGCCAGGTGCAGTGGCTCAAACCTGTAATCCCAGCACTTTGGGAGGCTGAGGCGGGTGGATCACATGAGGTCAGGAGTTCGAGACCAGCCTGACCAACATGGTGAAACCCCGTCTCTACTAAAAATACAAAACGTTAGCTGGGCATGGTGGGGCGGCCCTGTAGTCCCAGCTACTTGGGAGGCTGAGGCAGGAGAATCACTTGAACCTGGGAGACAGAGGTTGCAGTGAGCTGAGATCATGCCACTGCACTCCAGCCTGAGTGACAGAGGGAGACTCTGTCTCAAAAAAAAAAGACAGGATCTCATTCTGTTTCCCAGGCTGGAGTGCAGTGGCATGATCATAGCTCACTGAAGCCTCAGAACTCCTAGGCTCAAGTGATCCTCTCGCTTCAGCTTCCCCTAACAAGCTGGGACCATGGGCGCCCAGCTAATTTTAAATTTTTTGTAGAGATGGGATCTCACTCTATTGCCCAGGCTGGTCTCAAACTCCTGGGCTTAAAGTGATGCTCCTGCCTCGGCCTCCCAAAGTGCTGGGATTACAGGCGTGAGGCTCTCCTTTCTCTCTTTGTCATAGTAAGATTTTCTTTCCTTGAGTGTCCTTTAATTAATATGAAACGGAGTAGTCTTGCAGAACTGGCAAAATGATGTGACCTATTTTCTCCATGTATATGTGGGCCAGGGGAGATTTCCCATATTGCCTGGTTATGTAGTTTCCCTTGCAGTTCCAGGCACACACAACGGCCTGTGATAATAGCAAAACACCATGTTCCTTTTTCTCACCCCCTCCCCCAGTTCCATTTAGTTATCACTAACTTTGGACTTCTCAATACCGGTCTTTGGGTCATATCTGTTATCTTTTTCATTTCACAGCTTAGGTAACGGAGGCCTTGGAAGGAGACTCTGCCTCAGGTCACCCAGCAGAGATCAGCAATCCTTGGCTCACTGAGGAGGTTTGGTAAGTTGGCTTCATCTTCACCATGACTCAAATGCACATAACCCAGGGGCAGAGAAAAGTGGGTGAACATCACATAGCAACATCAAAATGCTAACCCTTGCCACCCCACTTTGTTTTTCTTTTTACAAACATATTCTTGTTGTGTTTGTTTAATTTACTAGGCCAGAGTGCCCTGTATGTTTGTTAAGTACAAATGTCCTTAGAGGACTCCCACTGCCAAAAAGAATGACAGAGGTATATTTGAATGATTTCACTGAAACGCTTTTAATACTGATTTCATGAAAATGTCTGACAGTGGGTCCTTCCTGCAGCGCTACTGCACATCATCAACTGTAGAATGCGGCCCCCCGCCCTTCACACACACAGTTTAACATGTCTGAAATTCAGCGCACCTTAATGCAAACAGGTCTGGTGAAATACAGCATTTCTCTGATAATCCCCAGATGACTAGCATTAAGTATTCCCTACCTCGTTTTCACACAATACAAATTTTTTTTTCTTTTTTCTTTTTAAAGGGTTCAATTTTTAAGGGTAAGAAATGCATAGTCTGATGAGTAGCTGATTAGTAAGAAGTCTGTGCTTACCAAAGAAAGAATTTAGGTTTCTTTTTTTGTTTTTTTGTTTTTGTTTTTGAAACGAAGTCACATTATCGCCCAGGCTGGAGTGCAGTGGCACGATCTCGGCTCACTGCAACCTCCGCCTCCCGGGTTCATGTGATTCTCCTGCCTCAGCCTCTCGAGTAGCTGGGACTGACTACAGGCACGCACCACCACACCTGGCTAATTATTGTATTTTTAGTCGAGACAGAGTTTCACCATATTGGCCAGTCTGGTCTCAAACTCCTGACCTCAAGTGATCTGCCCACTTCAACCTCCCAAAGTGCTGGGATTACAGGCATGAGCCACCGCACCCAGCCAGAATTTAGTTTTCTAATACTGAAAGAAAACCTTTTTTTTTTTGGTGACTTCATATGATGGTCTTGAGATGAGCACCCCAAGGACCTTGTAAATAGTGGGCGCTGGCACTCAGAATAGCCTATGTGAGATAATGGAGCAGTCTTCCAGACATAAGATCCCAGAATCAGACACTTATTCAAGATTCCCTTCAGCGGGTAGGAGTTCGCAATGAAAATGCCCCATGCTATGTCCCAGAATGACTCGTTCATTTATCTGTGAGAGCAGAGTCCAAATCCATGTTCATGTTAAATGTGCAGAAAAATAGCATCTTGAGAGTTAATGCCACAGAATGGGCATGATTCCCTAAGCCACATTTGCCTGATTGAGATAGATTTTAACATTTGCAAAACCTCCACGTTATGAGACCCTATAGGTGATAGTATATGATCTGTAGGGATACAAGTAAATCCACTAACAAACATTTTTTGAGCACCTGCTCTGTGGCAGACTCTGTGCTAGACTCTGTGCTAGGCTCTGTGCTAGATGCAGCATAATTAAGAAGTAATTAGGACAGAAAGGATTGCTGTCCCCACAGGGTTACTTTAGTAGTCACAGAAGATATTAAATAATATATTAACGGAGCAATGAGTGGGCTGATGAAGAATTGTAAGGACTTAAGAGTTTAAAACAAGAAAACCGGCCGGGCGCGGTGGCTCATGCCTGTAATCCCAGCACTTTGGGAGGCCGAGGTGGGTGGATCACGAGGTCAGGGGTTCGAGACCAGCCTGACCAACATGGTGAAACCCCATCTCTACTAAAAATGCAAAAATTAGCTTGGCGTGGTGGCGGGCGCCTGTAATCCCAGCTACTCAGGAGGCTGAGGCAGGAGAATTGCTTGAACCTGGGAGGCGGAGGTTGCAGTGAGCTGAGATCGCGCCACTGCACACCGGCCTGGGCAAAAGAGTGAGACTCTATCTAAAAAAAAAAAAAAAAAAGAAAAAGAAAACCTAGGCTAGCCAGAATGGCTCATGCCTGCAATCCCAGCACATAGGGAGGCCAGGGTGAGAGGATCACTTGAGCCCAGGAGTTCAAGACCCACCTGGGCAACATAATGAGACCCGTCTCTACAAAAATTTTAAACATTGTCATCCCATTCTCTACTGGAAAATAAACAAATTAGCTGGGGGTGCTGGCACGCACCCATAGTCCCAGCTACTTGGGAGGCTGCAGTGAGAGAATTGCTTAGGCCTGGGAGGTTGAGGCTACAGTGAGCCAAGATGGCGTCACTGCACTCTAGCTGGGGCAACGGAACAAGACCCCGTCTCCAAAAAATAAATAAATAAAAACAAGAGGACCTAACATAATCTGAGTCAGGAGGGGACTAGCGGGAAGGTTTCTTGGAGATTAAATGGCGTTCTGAGACCTGGAGGATAGGCAGAGGGGGATTGGTGACAGGCGGCAGTGGCTACGTCAAACAGCCTGTGCAGGGTCCCAGTGTGGAGAGAGTGTTGAGAGGGGTCAAGGAATAGCATGAACTATGGGGGGAAAGGGAGGGAGAGTGGCTTCACGTGAACAGGTGTTTGTTGTAAAATGAAAACTTAGTCAAATTTCTGGAAGAATCTTTAAAACCTCTTAAAGAGATGGATTTCAGACTGATGATCAGATTTTGTTGTTTTCGTGGTTCAGACAGAAATCTTACCTTGTCTAAATCAGCACTATGTCCTAGAGTTAGAGCCCAAGTCTTGCTCCCCTGCTAATCCTTTGAATTTTCCCCAAATCTATGTTCTTAATTTCCCTCACCTACCTCCCCCAGGAAGGTAATCAGCTTCTAATAAGAGGTGGTTTTCACAGACAATGTGTCCACATTTCTTTTTCTCTGCATCCTTGATGGCATCAGGGAAAGGTGATCATTGACATAGTCAATGTATGTGTATGATTCTCCCACCAAAGGCAGGATTTAAAAAATAATGCTTTAAATAGAATGAACAGAGGCAGCTACTTGGACCAGCTACTTGACTCTACTTGTGCTTTGAGGCCAGTGTGAGATTCTTAGGTTTCAAACCTTAGTGCTCTGTGTTGACATTTTCTTTTTCTTTTCTTTTCTTTTTTTTTTTTTTTGAGACAGAGTTTCACTCTCGTTGCCCAGGTTGGAGTGCAGTGGCACCATCTCGGCTCATTGCAACCTCCGCCTCCTGGGTTCAAGCAATTCTCATGCCTCGGCCTCCCCAGTAGCTGAGATTATAGGCGTGCGCCACCACACTGGCTAATTTTTTGTATTTTTAGTGAACATGGGGTTTTCACCATGTTGGCCAGGCTGGTCTCGAACTCCTGACCTCAGGGAATCCACTCACCTCTGCCTCCCAAAGTGCTGGGATTACAGGCTTGAGCCACCACGCCCAACCTGTGTTGACATTTTCTATCAAGAGAACTGCTGAGCTGGGGCACTTTGGCCAGTTACTGAATTGACAGATGCAGAAATTTACACATGTTCATGTATACACACAAGGAGCCCTAATTCCATGGAATTGGCCTTCTCAAGCTTGCTGGTTTCTTACTTATGAGTAAATTTGATGCAATTTTTTTTTTTTTTTGAGACAGTCTTGGTCTGTCACCTTAGGCTGGAGTGCAGTGGTGCAATCAGGGCTCACTGCAGCCTCGAACTCCTGGGCTCAAGCAGTTCTCCTGTCTCAGCCTCCTAAGTAGCTGGGCCCAGCTAATTTTTAATTTTTTATAGAGACGAGGTCTTGCTATGTTTCCCAGGCTGATCTTGAACTCCTGGGCTCAAGAGATCTGCTTGCCTTAGCCTCCCATAGTGCTGTTATTGCAGGTATGACCACTGTGCCTGGCTTGATTCAAAAAAAGTCCAGGTCATTACCTGACTTTCTTTGAGATGTTTATTTGTTTTATGACATTATAAAGAGCTTATTTCACAATACAAAGAATAGAATGAGGATATTATATATTATTTATATCAATAAGTTTGACATTTAGGTTATATGGAAAAATTCCTGGCAAAATATAAATAATGAATCTTAAAGTTAGCTGATTAAAAAAACCAAATAAATAAATAAAATATATAAATTAAAAAACCCAACTTAAGGAAAAAAAACCTGTATAGTTCTATAACAAATAAGGGAAAAAAATTAGTAGGGATTTTTTTCCCCATTCTTCCCCATTTATTATTATTTATTTATTTATTTATTTATTTATTTATTTTTGGGACAGGGTTTCACTCCTGTTACCCAGGCTGGAGTGCAATGGCGCGATCTTGACTCACTGCAACCTCTGCCTCCTGGGTTCAAGCAATTCTCCTGCCTCAGCCTCTTGAGTAGCTGGGATTATAGGCATGCACCACCATGCCTGGCTAATTTTGTATTTTTAGTAGAGATGGGGCTTCTCCATGTTGGTCAGGCTGGTCTTGAACTCCTGACCTCAGGTGATCCTCCCACATCGCCCTCCCAAAGTGCTGGTATTACAGGGGTGAGCCACCGTGCCCAGCCTGTTTATTTTTAACAAAGAATTTCAACATCCTTCTTATATTCTCTTTTGGTTAATTTCTTTTTTAAATTTTATTTATTTCATTGACAAATAATAATTGTACATATTCACGAGGTACATAGTGATGTTTTGAGACATATAATGTGAAGTGTTTAGATTGGGGCCTTGATTTTTCTCAAGCCACAGCAAGCATAGTTTCCTCGATCAACATGGCAACTGAAGTTAGGTGATAGGAAAGGTTAGGGGAGGAAATACCACAGGGCTCCTGATGGGAACTTTAAGTAAAATAAAAATAGTAAAACATTTGGAGTCCTTACCCTTTCCTACTAATCATAGCCTAGATTTTCATTCCAACGAAGTTAATGAATTAAGAGGTAGATATTATTTAACCTACAAGTTGAAATGCAAGTTGCATTTGAAAAGGAGGAAAACGTGGCCTGCTGAAATTGTTTCTTTGGTAAATGGCTCTTCATATTTTGGAATTGTAGCTCATTTAGTGAAACCACAGATCTCTTAGAAACAGATTTTCCTAAAATCCCTGTCCTAATTACATAATAATCACTAGAAGATATATCTTTTTTTTGAGATGGAGTCTCGCTCTGTCGC